TCCCACTAAAGTGTCCATTCATCCAGCTCCTCTCAGCTCCTCCCACTCTAAGTGTCCATTCATCCAGGCAGACTGGCTCTTCTGCTGGACAGTCTGCTGGGATTTAAGGGTGAGGTCGGGATTACTCTGTTTCCGGTTCTGCTCTCTGATTTTCTGCTCCCCTTGAAGGGCTTTCTGAATTGGTGTCCCCTTTCTAAGGGTCGAGAACAGTAGCTCTGATAAATATGGGAGGGCGAGGAGAGGGGGCCTCTTGTCTATGCCCTTAAACTCACGTGGAACTAATTTCAAAGGTTTACTTTTAATCCCTAATTAATAATTCTTCTTATCTTAGAAATACCCAATTTATACCAATTCTAGCATTTATTTTAAAATATTTTAATTTAAAAAGTGACACAACAGTTACTTATATTACCATGTGATATTTTGATGCTATATTGTAGAATGTTCAAATGGGGCTAACCACACCCAGATCCTTAAATAATGCCATTTTTCTGTAGTGCAAACAATCAAGTTCTTCCTTTGTGAACTGTACATTATCACTGCCTCTGCACTCTGCAGCTCCTTTCTTCTGTGCCTGGCCACAGCCCCGCCTTTCCTCACCCATCCCACTGGGTTCCGGTTCTTATAACTCAGCTTCAGACTGTGGCTGTGACTCTAGGTGGGGCCATGCACCCAAACACAGGGGGATTTACCGAGAGTAAAATCTTTTCTGATAACCAAAAATTAATGCAAATTCAAAAGCAAACGTGTAATGAATGCAAGTAGCCTGGCAGCGCTCAGGCAGGATGCACTGTGAGGCTTCCTGCAGCTCTGGCTTGGAACAGCCATGTGGACTTTTCAGAGCACTGATTCCACAGCAGCCCAGTGCAGAGCCGCACTCTATGTTTTGAACTGTTTTTGTCCATATGCAAGTTTAATGCTTTTATACACATAATAACTTAATTATGGAATGTAAAAACTTAATATTTTCCTCCAGTCATTCACTAGCATGTAAGTAATTACCATGTGAGACTGTCTAAAAAGTTTGTCTGAGTTGGTGATCTTAGCTTGCTAAAAAAAAAAAAAAAAATTAAATGGACTTTTGCTTGATTTTGACAGACTTCCAACAATTTATGAGATGGCTCTAAACATACACTAGCTATCTTTTATCACATTTTATGTATGTGAAATACATTTTTATGTTGATGATGATACGATAAAATCCATTCAACTCTGAAAAAATAAGATTTTCTATGTCCTGTAGTAACAAACATTCAGTCAAAGCTTCTTTATATAAAAACACATAAGACAGCACTTGGGAGGCAAAGAGACAGATTTCTGTGAGTTCAAGGCCAGCCTAGTCCACATGGAAGTTTCAGGCAAGCCAGAACTACACAAAGAACACACACACATCCTCTCTCTCTCTCTCTCTCTCTCTCTCTCTCTCTCTCTCTCTCTCTCTCTCTCTCCCTCCCTCCCTCCCTCCCTCCCTCCCTCCCTCTCTCTCTCTCTCCCTCTCTCTCTCTCTCTGTGTGTCTCTGTCTCTCTCTCTCACATACACACACATATGAACATTCATTATTCATTTCATTACATCCTGTGTTTAATAAATTGTAAAAAGAGTACACATCAAAGAATTGTTTTAAAATGCATCTCTTCATGATTTATGACTAGTAAGTCCTTGATGTGTGTGTCTGTTTTCCACCTACACGCCTAAGGTTGCAAGTGGAATGTTTAAGGAGCCCATCGTGACCAGCATCTGAGTGGATTCCATGTGAGTGAGCACTCAGTGCTGGCTTGTTGTGCCTTTTATGTCACTTAACAGGCTGTCCTCTAGTTTGGTCAGAGTTGTTGAATGGAGTGGTATTCTATTACATAAGGCTCTATTGTGAATCCACAGTTTATTTCAGTCCTTTGCTGTCAACAGTGTATTATAGAATGCATATGTGTTAGTCTGACAGATGATCTGCCCCTGTAAACATCTGTTAGTGCAATTGTACTCCTGACCAACATACACACCATCCTCCTCACTTTGGAATACTTTGTTTCTTAATCTAAAACTTTGCATACAGCCCAATAAGTGAACTGAATTGACTTGCATATACCTCATTAAATTATATTATGTTGCTGCTGGAAGAATTAAACAAAAGGAGATACATATGTTCTATTAGATAAAGTGAACACTGAAAATGACTGACTTGTCCTCATTCCTGAGGTGAACCACAGACCATGTGTGGCTGAAACAGTGTGCTGCCTCCTGATTTTTCCTGCTTACTCACTGATGGCTAGGCTATCTCATGTAATTTTATCTACCTTCTTTGCCCTCACCAATCATATAAATAAAACAAATTAACCTTTTTTATAGCCTACATTTAGGGGCATGCTCATTTCCAGTGGAGACGATAGAACTGATGGAACCTCAAACCCTGGACTCCATGTTGGGCATCACTCTGCACTAAAGTAGGCTGCTGTCAGCCACAGCGTCAACCTCTGACAGTGGCAACTCTGGCAAAGGCTGAGTCCGGCAGCATGGTGGCAAGCAGTGGCTGTGAGCCTTTTGTTGTCTGACAGATCCATGGGTCGTATACTGGGCTCTGCAACATTTTGTTGTACAATCCAGCTTAGTAGTCCCAGTACAGAGCAGCCTCTGAAATCCCTAACTTGCCCTTTTCATTCCCCTGTCCACAGCCTGACTCCCAAAACCCGAGTCCATCGGGTTTTAAGGGAGCTCTAGGGAACACAGAGTGAAGTAAGAGTTAAATGTTACTGGATTACATAGTAGCTCTTTGAGAAGGGCAGCATCTTGTCCCTGTGGTCCTCCCAGGGTCTAGTATACTGCCCTGCACATATAAATGATTGTAAGCTGACTGCCAAATAATGACTGCCAAATAAACAAACTTTATAACTTCACTTTTTGTCCCATATACATCTATGGAGAGAACCTATAACCCTATAATAGCACTTTTAAAACAACACAGGCTTCAGACTCAGGCTGACAGATCACCAATGTGACCTTCACTTCATCAAAGCCACAACACATGTAGATTACTGTCACAGTCTTACTATGACAAAATCAAGAATAGACCTGACTTTGCAGTGACCTACACATTTTGCTCAAAGGTAAGGTAATCTGCTTTCCATCTGATTCATGACAATGGATCTTCTCTTCCAGTATTGTAGTTTTGGTAACTGCACATAAAAAAGGTCCCTTAGAACCCTTTTTTCATAAAATGGCATTTGGAGATTCTTCTGACTTTTACACTTTATAAACATTAATAATAAAGTTTTGAACATTTATTCTGGTAGGAGAGCTCAAGATTACCTGTGCATAGCAACATGGTCAAGGAGATACTTACACTCTCACTCTGAAAAGGATTTAAGAAATTTCCCCCCATTTCACCGTCATCCCTTGGAGTGCCTGGCTGGTTACTCAGGCTCATATTATTGGGAGAATTCTGTAAACAAGATTCAGAAAAGAAGTCATTGTTGAAGATTTTCATTTCCCTCCTGCACTGTAGTGTTTCAAACACAGAACGTACAGCAGTAGCAGCAGCAGTAGCAGCAGCAGTACTCTGAGGACAAACCATGATGCTAACTGGCTTCTTCCTCACACTCTAGGTCACACTATGCACTGGATCAAGTGTTAACACTTTTGCAAATCAAAGTTTGAAAACAACCAAAACTCTGAAACAATCGATGGTAACTGTTTTTTTTTTTTTACTCCCAGAATCAATGTTTATTCAATTCCTTACCCCCAGCTTTTAGACTTTCAAGAACTGTAGAGAGTTAAAAATAAAAAAGTTTCCCAGCAGGAGGCTGATGAGAGAGCCTACTCACAGATATGGCATGGTGGAGGCTAACTCCCTTAGTAATTTTACTAATCAAATTTGAAAGGTCATTGCTTTAATAGGTATTTCCCTTTAAATCTCTGTGCACATTAGAGGTAATACTATTTCAATTATTTTTATGTGAGTCAGAAAGAAGAGGGAAGGTCGTTAAGAAAGAGACAGACACCTTAGGACTAGAAAACTATGCTTTCAGAAAAGAAGGAAGATCAGCAGACTGCTGTAGACACACCTTACCATTAGCTTAACAGGAAGTTCCTATGCAGTTTCTCCAAGACAGAGCAACTGCTATTAGCAATCCACACAGAGTTAGCAGGGCCTTTGTAAAACCCTGTTTAAGTCTGCTTGCCTTATCATTACAGTGTACTTTAAACTGTGCATGACAGCCACACCAATAGGAAATGGAGAATGACATACAAGGCATGTTTATACAGCCCTGCAATAAAACACTCAAGGAAGTATTTCAAGTTATAATTGATTGAGTTTAAGAAAATTCAGGACAAAACACTTATTTTTAAATGGAAGAAAGATTTTTAGATTATTTTGCTCTAAACCATATCAATTTATTTTGGTTTGGAATAAAAAAAATACTTAGAACATGTTGATTTACCCCAACAAGTTCTCTTACAAACATCAAAGTTTTATGAATGAGTTCCTAAAAAAACACGTGCTTTAAAAATATGGCCAATCTGTAAGCAGAGGCAGGCAGATGGCTGGCATGATTACAGCTCCTGACTTGTCTCACTGAGCCCCCTGCAGGTAGGATCTGAGAGTGAGGCTCCTCTGAAGCCCAGGCATATAGGAGCCCTATATACCTCAGAACCAGACTTCCACAGCAGAAGGAGAACTTATCATTTCTGATAAGTTTTTCCTCTGAAAATGTTAGTTACCCACGAATAAAGAAAGGCAGCTATACTTTGAAGTAAAGCTGACAACTTTTTTTTCCTTAAAAATTTTTACTAAATGTATTATTTTGGATTTATTAATTACCAAAGCTGTTAATTAAATATTAAACTGTGCTTTGAAAACAGGACTGACATTGTTCACTGTGGTGGTCTGAGAATGGTTCCCATAGGCTCATATATTTGAGTACTTGGTTCCCAGTTGGTGGAAGGTCTATAAATAGGAGGTGAGGTGTGGCCTTGTTAAAGGAGGTGTATCACTGGGGTGAGCTTTACCTCCATGCCAGCCACAGCTCCAATGCCATGCCTGCCTGCCTGCTGCCATGCTGCCCCATGGCATGGCCATGGACTTTGTCCCTTTGTAACAATGGGTCCCAAGTTAAATATTTTCTTCCATATGTTACCTTGTTTGTGGTGACTGTCACAGTCATGGAGAGTAACTAAGACACCTGTGCGGACTTTCTCTTAGAATTGGGTGATTAGATCCCTGCTGTGCTTTTTTTCACATATTTCTTTTTTATTCTAAAAGTTTAGTGAACTTTAAGCGGGTTGGTTTTATTTTAATTAATCAGCTAATTAATTAGTATTTTAGTGCTGGCATTTGAATCTATAGCCTTGCATATGTTAGGCAAATGCTCTACCATTTAGCTACAACCCTAGACCTCAAGGTATGGATTTGTTATCTAGAGTTAAAAACAACACGCCCACTTTACTATTTCTATTTTCTGTTCAGTGTCTTCATAGCATGGGGGCTCAAACTCATGTTTTTGTTTCTGTTGTTAAGGTAGAGAATATATAAATATGCTGAAAGGAATTTTAAATGAATACAAGTCAAGGCATTATCAGATCTTCCAAACCTCTTGCTTCTGCCAATGGAACATGTTAGAAAAGTTTAAAATGATAAGGAAAATATGTTGTTTTGTTTTTCTGAAAGTATTCTTTGTAGAGTGTCAGGAAACGCATGAGTTCGTCAGTATGGAGGGTTAAGGAACTGGGCTGTACAGAATCATGCTGACCAGAGGAAGATGCAGGCTAAAGGGCACCTGGCCTCTGAGACTGGAATTTCAAACCAGTTGGGACAGGTGACGAGCACAGTGGCATGGACACTGGGATGCTCATTTAACTGTGACGACGTTTGTGAGTAGTGTCTCCAGGAGAACTCACCACTGAGGACAGATTACCATGCAGAAAAGGCACTGATAACAACCAGGAAGGCCACTGACTGGACACATCATCTGGAGGGGAGCATGACAGAACTCGGGAAAAGGCTGCTTTTAGCTGCTTTAGTCATGCTGGGGACAGTTGGTTTTTTTTGTTTTGTTTTTTTAAATTTCAGTGTACTGGCACGTTACTGTGTACCTTTAATCTAAGATTCAACTTTAAAATATAGTTCGTATTACTCATCCCATAGTCAAGAGAGTCTATTACATTTCCACTTACCCTTTCTCTAGGTTTGGAAGAAATTCACATTATAAATGTAAAAAGCATCACACATAAATTTCCTCTGGCTAAAATGTTTACCTCTCTTAAAGTCTGTGGTGTCTACTTAATTTTTAGAGGGTTTTTTGGGTGTATGTGTATGCACGTGCATATGTGTGCATGATGCATGCAGGGATTAGACACAACTTCAAGGATTCACCTCTCTCTGCCTCTACTTGATGTCTTGGGCTAAAATCATGCTTCGAGACTTGCATTCCAAGTCCTGCTGAGTCATTTTGCTGGCCAGAGTCTTCAATTTTTATCTTTTAAGTAATTTTTAAAATAATCTCTTAATTAGCAATTTATTGTTTCTTCTATCCTCAAAACTTGACCCAAACTTTTGAAACTCTTTCCAGTTTGGTGTGCTCAGTTACATGGAGCTTCTTGGGGTGTGGCCTTATGTGTGCTTCTCTTTGGAGTTACAGCTCTGCATGATGCCTAATAATAATCACACCGTTCTTTACCCAATGAGCACGCCCCTGGGTGAGGAGAAGCCACTTGAAGATGAAGAGATGATGTTTGTTTTCGAAGTCTTGTTTTGAAAGAAGACTTTATGGAGAGCATTTCTCACAGAGATAAGTTACTATTTGTTATAAACACATTCGTCCACGTTTCCACAGAAATTGTACAACTAGGTAGCCAGACTCTCCAGCTCCAATGTTAAAGTTGCAGTTTAAAATGTTTTAGTCCTGAAGTCTTAGATTAAGCTGTTTTTACAGCTCAGTTAATCTCATTTTTTTGTGGTGCCAGGAACTTTATATTATTATACAAATATTGGTGGGATAAAAGCATAGCTGTCCTTTAGTCAGTTTCTCTATTTACTGATCTAAAGCAAACTTTGAAAGGGAATCTCTTTAGTGTTAGCTAATTTTAACTCTCATCAAACATGTTAAATTTATTTGACTCTCTGAGAACGACTTTAATTTCATTATGATCTATTTAGAATTATTCTTTAAAAATATGTAAATCATCTTACAGAAAGATTCATTTTATGTATTCAAATAATTGAAGGAGGACAATGCAGACACATTTACTTTTCCACATGAATTAATGTAATATCTTTCTAATTCCTCTCCCACCATTCTGAGGACTAGCAGAATGACTGCATGTCAGCCCTGTCTAATAAAGGCCTGCAAGACCAAGTGGACATACAGATGCAGTGTCCTTATTCCACATACAGCCGACGACTCCAAAGTATCTACTGTCAAATTGCTGTAGAGACTTTGCAAACTTCTGCAGCTTTTCAAAGGATCATCCAAACTGTCAGGGTAGCTCACTATGTAGCATCGGAACATGACTAAATGGGTTATCACATTTTCTTTCTCAAAGATTATATATATCCAAATTTTAACTGCTAAGTGACTATATCTGAACTTCTATATTCAAAATTTATATTGAAGAACAATATTAATGAAACTCATTTAGTAATGCTACAGTTCCACGTGGAATCAAATGGAGATAAAACAGAGAACACACATTACTCACCTTGGAAATACTGTCCATATCTCCTGAGCCTGAAGCAAAGTGTGAAAAGATACCATCATTAGGTGAGACAGCATGTATAATGGAAACTACTGAAGGGGAGTGAGCTACTGACAGCCCAGAGCCCAGCTGCGACTTCTAGTCACCTGGCTCCTAACGGCAGGAGCAGAGGCAGAGCTACAGACCCCTTGGAGACCATTAGGGAGACCATCTACATATGTAATTAAAATATTTAAATGTTTATATAGCATATATATAGATCTATATATCTTTTAATAATAAAATTTAAGACAGACATTTCTAGGAGTATTAGATAATATTCTAAATCATATTCTAAACAAAATATTAAAAAAGTTTCATTAATATTAAAAAATAGATAGTACTCCATATACACAATAGAAACTAAACATATCTTAAAAATATGCTACATTTTAATTTTGATTCTTGAGAGACATAGGCAGTGGCATTATATACTAAATAATTAATAATCCTAACTTTGTCATGTCACAGTATCAGTTTTATTTTGAACTATTTTATTCTTAACAATTAATCTTAGTGTAAAATATTGTAACATTTTAATAACAGCATTTACTGAACAGCATAATTAACATGAAGGGTTAGCATGACTTACTTGTGAGTGAAAGGGTCCAATATTGTTACACACCCAATGCACACATGCTATACTGTTACACGTTAATAATTAATACAATAATGTTCACTGTAGAAAGTAACAAACTAGTTGTCAACCATTGTGAAACTCCTCTGGATACCTGAACTTAGTAATAATGTAACCAAATCCTTCTAACTATGATCACACACTCTCTTTTTCACTAATTCTCCAACTTGACTGACTGAGAGTATCATGTTTTGCAGTCCACTGAAAAATCAAAATCTGTACTAGTGCTGTCCAATGGAGCACTATGAGAAGATGGCTACATTTCTCTGTGATGTCCATTATGGGAACCAGTAAAATTAGGTGTGCTTGCTATACACAAGTTTGTGGCAGTGTGCCTGAGAGTTTGAATGTTAAATTCTAACTTAAAGTTAAATAGTCATAAGTACCTATTGGAAACCATAATCAGACCCTTCATGTCAACAAAAATAAAATAAACCCAAACTTTGAAGTCTAGGAAGAATAAGAATGGGTCCTTAAAAGCACAAAAGCCTACCAATGTACTGTAAATAATTTCTGAAATGAGTTCATACAGACGTTCAGAGACTTGAGGGGCATGCTGCTGACCTTCAGTATGGGAAGCAAGTTCCAGACGAGCAGAACTACATAGCACAGCTTGTGTGACAGGCGTGAAAGGCCCACTGTCAGCTTTTAGACAGCGCATGAGCACAAGCATTTTTATACCTTCTACCCAGGAGCACCGTGTGTGAGGAGATCTAGTCAGTTTGCCTTACGTTTCTCTACATCTCATCATTGTAAATATTTTGATTACCTTACAGATACGCGGCTCCTTACGCTAACAATGCACTGTACATGAAGCATGCTGTTAACTACTGGTCTACTTGAGCTTGGCTCTATCCCAATGGAAGGTGCAGATCATAGTCTCATAAGGGAATTATTAGCATTATCAAAGCTGGTTACTAACTTTATTTTAAAATGAGGCAAACATTAAAATACACAACAAATCTAAGGAATTATCATAAGAGCTGGTTTCTCTGATATTATGTTCACAATCTGGAGATAAAATCCCCTATGGGAAGGGCAGGGAAACCCTCTGTTCTAGGTAGCACTGCACACGCTGAGCAGAAGAACAGAACTCCTTTGGCCACAAGACACTTACGCTTTTATAGGTTGGTATGATACTCATGGGGCAAACTGCACAGAACAACTCTCACACTCCGATTTTCAAATGTTCTCAGTTCTCATAACCAACTCTGGATTATACCTCCATTCTGGTGTCATGGAAGAGCTTTGCAGACCATAATATCCATGGAGTAAAATTAACATTTTATTTTGAATTTATTCTATCCATCTAATGTAAAAGCTGAGCCTTATCTAAAGAGTCATTCATTCTATCCATCTAATGTAAAAACCGAACCTTACCTAAAGAGCCGTTCATGTGATGGGATTCCATTCCTCCTAATCCACCCATGGGACCATCTGATCCAGGGCCCATTGGAAACTGTTTTTTAAAATGAAGAAAGTAATTGTGACCAAATGGAAAGTGACTTTTAACATTATTTATTAACATTACAGAGATTTCCCTGGCTCATCTCTAGGTTTGCAGACTTCAGGATGCATTTGCAGACTGTGGCTTCTTTAACCATCTTTCCCATCTCTCTCACCTCTGTTCTGAATTCTAAGCCTAATCTTTTCTGTCCATTTTTTTTCTCTCAAGGGAAAAAATATGGAAAGCATATACTGATGAGAAGACCAGTGTTCTCTCTGTGAGAGACATTTCCTCTTATTCTCCTGGTACAGTTCTTGAGAAGCTGCAAATACTATTGGAACATTTATGTTGGACCATGATGCCAGTATCAACTCTTCTTAGAAGAAATATAGCACTGTTTGAATGGTCACAGGAAACGCTTTCATCCTGGAGGTTAAACACATTTACCTACTGAGAGCTGACCATCACTAACTCTCCTCAGTCATGTGTGTCATGTCAGCTTAGTGCAGACACTCTGCAGCAGCTCTAGTCACACCTTCAAAGCACTGCGGCTGTTTCTTTTCAAGTAAAATCTTAGTGGGAAGTAGTTGTGAACACACATGCTGGGGGAGAGCTGTGATGGGAACGCCCAGGTCAGTGCCTTTCCTTCCCTGTGGCTCCTCTAGAATGAGTCCATGCCGAATCTGAAGGCAGGTGGGTCATCTGTCATCATCTCAGACTTGAAGGTAAGCACTGAAGTCAGCACTTTCTTTTCATGTTCCTAAGCTGAAGTCCTATTCCACCACAGGATTGACTCCAGTGTGGATAAACAGAGTGGGGAGGTAAAGAGGCACACTAGCCTTCAGCACCAGAGCAGACTAACTAAGAAAGGAAGTGCTGGGCTGGGGGTAGGGGGTAAGAGAAAGGAAAAGAAGGACTGGGAAAGAGTAGGGGTGACTAGTAGGGGAGGGGGCGTGGCAGGGAAGCCAGGCAGGCTGGGTAGCCTAAGGGAAAACTATTCAGACAAGGCTGAATGCCACCAGCTTTGTGCAAACATGGCTGTGAGGAAGCAGATCACATGGTCCTATGGCTTCCAAGAAGGAGTACAAGGTTGCTGCTTATGACTAAGTGTCTAAACAGACACATAAAGGTAGGGAAGAAGGCCAGCTGAAAAAGGCACTTTCCACCAAACCTGAAAACCTGAGTTCAGTCCCCAGGACTCCCAAAGTAGATGAAGAGGACAGGCTGTTACAAGTGGTTTCTGTTGACTTCCATATGTATCCCATAGCAAACTTACTAGAAGGGACCACACACACACACACGCGCGCGCACACACACACACACACACACACACACCACCGATGAGTGAGAAGCTGACTGACTGGACTATTTTCATTGAGTTTTTAGAGCGAGGCTGAGAAGTTAGACCTGTGAGCCCAACAGTCACGAATGTGCTATGTACTATTCTTTCCTTTGCCTCTGTAACTATAAAGGGAATTTAATATTTTAAAAGACTCTAAGACTAGAGGCATGTAAGTTTTAATTCCCTAACACAAAAATGTATCTGTTGACTTTTTCAATTTTATCTACCCTGTGTACTTATACATAAGCATAACATTTATATTTATTTGGATCATTACTGTACTGTAGATCAAATACGTTTAAAACTTATATTTACATTAGGTCTGTTAGGCCCAGGAGGTACTGCATTCATTAAAGTATACATGTTGTCTCCAGAATTAGTTGAATCTGAAACAAAACATGGCTTAATTAATATCTCTACCAAAGCCATAGCAAAGTAATAACCAAAGGAGATCCTGGCGTACATAGAAACGACAGCTAGATATGCACCTGGCCTAGTCATGACTGATGTTTGGAATCAAATACTTGGCAGTCATTTCTGACCCAGACTTTAGTGTTCTATAGTCATAAACTACAAACACAATGAGGTATATAATTATTTCAGTAATTTAGGTCAATTGAATATCACTTTAAAAACAAACACTGCAATATTTCCCTTCATAAAACATGGATCAGTTTTTACTACATAAACAATGACATATATACATATCAGGCAATTTTAAAACTCCAAATTTAGTAGCTTTCCAATTTTCAGAATTTTCTTAGATTTCCTATAAAAAAGAAAATTGAGTTTTAGGATAAAACTGGTAGACTATACTAACTTAATTTCAAAAGTGATATTACAGTAAGACTAGAAAGAGAAACTCTCTTATTTGAAGTCAAAACCAGATTCCTCTACTATGTGTTTCTCTCCTTTTAGAGACACTCTTGTTTTATGGCTTTGGCTGGCCTGGAACTTACTTGGTAGTGCAGGCTGACCCTGAGTTCAGAGTCATCTTCCTGTCTCAGTCTCCTGAGTACTAAGTTACAGACATGAATGACAACACTTTTCAACAACTTTTTGATAACCTTTTTTAGTACTTTTATTAAAATAACTGCAATGTATTCTATATAAATATATGCAAGCTTTTACACTATTCTAAAACTTATACTTCATGCCTACTAGCTAATTCTAATTAAATCTCCACATATATATTTGAAGTAAACCTAGAATGAAAGTGAATTATTTTGCATTGAAGAAGTACTAGTTATAAACCACAGTTTTCTATTTTCTTATAATTATAATTTGTGTTTACTTAGCTGTGGAACAATAGATCTTTATTTTGAAAATGATGAAGTATTGGAAAACTGTATTTTGTATTGATCGAGAGGGTAAAATAAGATGCTTTCTCATAGTAGTGACCACAGATAGAGATATTTAACTGTTTCTGCTTTCTTTGTGTGACTACTCATTAGACATTAACTCGCTTGTGACTTCAGTGTGTGTCACTTTGAGTGAGTGGGACATTTTTCACATTTATTAACAGTGATCTCTGAGTCTCAGTGTTAGATTTAACTTCTGAGACAGGGTTCCACTATGTCTACCTGGCTTTCCTAGAACTCACCATGTGGACCCGGATGGTCTCGAATCCATAAAGATCCACCTGCCTCTGCCTCCCAAGTGCTGGGATTGAAGGTACATGCCAGTCTGCTCAGCTAGATAGTACTTCCTGAGTAGAATACATCCTAGTATCACGCTGACCTTGGTTTTGGATACAAAGTGAGGTCACAACCTATTTTTGTGGCTCTAACTTGTTTATATCCTTATGTATGAAATACTTCTGCCATGTAAGATTACTTATTCTTTCTTGCCCATCACCAACCTTGCACATCTTTACGCTTTTACTTCTGCTGAGCATCTTCTCCTCAGTTGTCACCTACTAAAATTCTAGTCACTAGACATCAAGACTCATTTCAAATGCTATTTCTTTTCTTTCTTTCTTTTTAAAAATATTATTCATGTTTTTTTAAAATATGAGTGGTCTGCCTGCAAGTACACCTGCATGCCAGAAGAGGGCATCAGATTCCTTTATAGGTGGTCTTGAGTTACCCTGTGGTTGTGGAAATTGAACTCGGGACCTCTGGAAGAACATCCACTGCCCTAAACCACTGAGCCATCTCAGCAACCCCTCAAATGCTATTTATAATAGGAGTTCCCCACTGAGGTATCTGAATATATGTGCTCTCCAGCCAATGCAGGGTAGCTTGCTTGTATCAGTTAATGCTCCACTAGTCTTCTCTTCTGTTCACAACTGGCCATCAAGAATTCACCAGAAGGAAAGGGACTATGTCTTACTTAGCTGTGTGCCTCAGACAACAAGTTAGATTTACTGCATTTAGTCTGTCTAAAAAGTTCTATCATATTTTAGAAAATCTGAGATTTCTTTTTAAATATATGAGAACTTAAAATGGATTTTATCTTTACTTTTGGTGAAAGAAAAAATGGATTACAAATTCAAATATGTAAGAAATGAATTTATCACTTTAAGACTAACTAAAATATAATTTCATCCAAAAGAGACAAAATTATCAAGAGGAGTAAGGATGGTTTTCTAGGCAATGCCTGGTTCCTTCTGATTCATGGATGAGCCTTACAATAAAGCGTATCTTAGGCCTGAGTGCCAGCTCACTGTTAAAGGACTAGTCTACAAAAGTGTTCAAACAAGCCTGCAAGGTGGAAAGGCGACCAGATTACTTATCACCGGTATGCTTAGTGTTACATGAAGTTAGGCTCTAGTCTACAGTGACACGAACAATGCTACGCTATCTTCGTAAATTACACATTAACTTCACAAAATGAGAATGAAATACAGGGGGGGAGAAGATCAGTTCATATAATTTCATCTTGGATGGATTCTGCTTCATATTCAATGTGGACAGTTTGAAGTAAGAGACGATGACATATTTATAGATAGAGAAAAACCAGTGAAGTCAAGGTAACATTTTGTATTACCAAATTTGGTTTTAAATAAAAAATATAAAACAGGAAATTATTTACTGGCATTATTAATAATAGACTTTTAAATTCTGTATATCTTAGAGAGCATCTGACTTTACAGTGAGCCATACGGTGAGCATCCTCATACGGAGATCCTGGATTATATCTCCAACCACTTATAGCGCTAGGGCTATAGAGTCAGCTCCTAAGGACCATCTAATAGCCCTTGATGCATGCTCTATATAATTTGATAGATCTTTGACAATTTAAATTCCAACTATTAGTCTTCAAATGTGCTCAATACTTTGTACGAAATTCTCAAAAGGGAAAAAAGAAATGCTAATGCTTCTTTAAAGAATTATGTTAAATTACTATGGATATAGTGAAGAATGCTTTATTTTAGAAGAGTAAAAACATTTCACTACTACTTAGCAAATTTGTTAACTAGTAAATTCCTATAGACATGTAGAGTAAACAATCCTGTAAACATATCCATTCTTAGTACGATGACAGATACGTGGGTGGGGCCAGTTTGCTAACCTAAGGGGTCAATGTCTTTTAATGTTTTACTCCTGTACACTGTTTTTCTGAGTTGGGGGGATATGGATTCTTTTCCATTTTAAGGGATTTTTAGTATTAAAGTTCAATAACTGAGCAATTCATATAAATCAACACACTGCTCATGCTAACTCTGTTATTCATACAAGAGGAATTCTCTAAATGCTTACAGCAGCAAAGCTGTTTAAGAATAGATGTCTCCCGACATGCTCCCCCTACTGCTTTTAATCACGCTGAGACAATGAACGTTCCCAAGTTTATTAACGATTTCTATATGCTGTGGTTTTATCCTAGGAGGCAAATATCCATGAGCTAGTTTGAATTACAGTACCTGCTGGGCTAGGCATGATGGGTGTTCCTGGTGGCCCTCCACCTCCTGGAGGACCCTAAAGAATTACACAAAATTTCAGTAAAAATAAAGCATTTCATTAAACAACATAAGGAAAGACAGAAAAGGGTTATACTTATCTCTATAATAATCCAAATTTAAAAACAAAGCAACTATATTTCCTCTGTAATTTATTTTCTTGATGCACAATCATCTCAATATTATGCAAAACATAATTTAGCTTAACTATGTTGAAACTGTTTTGACAAGTTTCCAAAAACAATGAGCCCGTAACACTGGTTTATTATTCATGACTTAATCATATCACCTATAATGAGGTTAAGGAGAAACTACTTAATAGGGCCTTTACAAATCAACAAGATACAAATAATTCCGTGTACTTTGTCTGCTATAATTTTCTTACATTTTGTGTCACTGGCACTTACTAAAACTATGAAGACAATCACACAGAGTATCTAAGAGATACCCATTTACCACCCACTCCTCCTGTTTTTGTTCTGTCAGCCTTAGGTCACCATGATGCAGCAGCATCACTTCAGTGGGCCATGAGACATGCTCCTCATCCTGACCACTGCTCCTGAGGCTGCAGTTCCATACCCAACTGCACCAGGCATGAGGCGGAGCTGCAGTTAATTCTGACAACGAAATGCATTGTTTAGGCAATGAGTTTTAGAATTTTTCAGGACCTCTGTGCATAATGATAAAATTAGTTTTCAGGAGACTGAAATATTTACTTCATTTTGAGTGTATACATATAGCCTAGCAGTCACTTCAAATAATATATCAAATAATCTCCTACTAAGAAAACAATATAAAGTTTTTTTTTTTAAAAAATAAATGTATATAATTTAATAAAACTTTATCCAGGCGTATTAAGAGACTTTAAGAGAGTTTTATCCTATTTTTTCCCTTTCCCTTCCTTCCTTCCCTCCCTCTCTCTATCCCTCTGCCCCTCTCTTCTTCCTTCTCTATTGTTTCATACAAATGGTATCAAAAGTTGCACTGTGGCTTGGACAGCTTAGAGGAGCCCTGAGCACTAAGACCACAGGCCCAGAGTCGCATGTGCTTTTCTCTATGGTAATGAAGTAGATCTCTGTAGGGCTAACCTGCTCATTTGACTTCTTCTGTGTGTTCCTGCTTACAGCACTCTTGCTGCACATAACCTCTGGAAATTACCCTTGGAAAGGCTTCCTATTTTATCATTTCATCTCCACTTCTCTGTTAATATTTTCTCTTAAATCTTCTAAAATAAATTATCCATTATGGTATCCTTTAAATGTAACAAGGAACATAGAAGGGGTGACGGCCAAAGGGTCATTCTGACTTTACAAGAGGTGGTCCAAAACCAAGTCGTTTGGCTTCAGGTTACATGAATTACTGAGAAAAGTTAACATGTAATAAATAGATGGTAATGAGGAAATATTTTTTTCAATCTCTAGGAATAGAAAAAACCTAAAAGATCCTTCCGAATTATTTCTTTACTTTGCAGTCTAATCCACTTTGTTGCTGGGATGAAGTTTTATGTTTTTAGCCTTTATGTGTGGTGAGTGGGCCTGGGGAGGGGTGTGCGCACTATTCTTGTGGAGAACTGCGAATTCAAGCGTATTGTTGTATAGCTGGGAACGGCTCTCTCCATGATTGGATAGAGCACTGTAGTAGCTTCCAGAAACATATGCCAAAGTAAAGCAGAGCACGGAAGGCAATTCCAGCCAGACTGATAACTGTTTCCCTAATGAACATCAACATATGTATTGTGGTTGGCGTATGAAACAACTCAAGATGTTCACTTCTTGGTCAATACACAGGGCTCTTCCTAACATCTGGGCAACAATTTCACTGCTCAAATAAAATGTAACATCAATTCTTATGAGCAAACAAACCCAAATGTACTTACTACATAATTCCCAGGAGACGCCGAGGAGTAGGGTATCTGGAACATGAGCAGGACAGAGACAAATATTTTGATTCATGTGACCACATGAGATTGAATTAAATGAATTGACTTCTCTTTTATATTGTTTAAAATGCTTCACAAAGTATAATAAAACACAAAGGAATTTATATCTGCGTAAGTGCCAAAAAAAATAAATCCAAGCAACTACAATATTATATCGAACTCACAAGAAAATGTAGATTTCAGCCAAGAGGAATTCAAAATGATAGCTTCAAATTATATTGGCTTAGGTCAGTTGTATCCACTGGGTGATACTAATGAGATGTTCTATAAATAGAAAGATATATATACTTGTACAGCTAAAACCAGGGAATCTCAGATTAGTAGCCTGTGCAGATAAAACTTACTGCTCCTTTCACACAATTCATGTGAATCCTCACATTCCTTGCTCAGTTAATATTAATGCAATAAATGCAAAGGAATTTGATGTCCAAAGACTGATAATTGATGAGGATCAGGTCCAAACAAAAGCTGTTTTCTGGATATGAGAAGGTTTTCATCTCCAACACTCTGATGACACAAGTGAAGAATTAAAAATGTACCCTAAAATAAACTCCTAAGTGCAGGTGTCAATAGGTAAAGTTCAACATTTCCTTTTCAACAAGCCCTCTGACTCCCTGGCATGATTCAGCCCGTATGCTTTATTCTGAGCAAAGACAATGATGTGCTCCCTGGAATGAGATAGTCAAGGCCAGATAAGACTCTCTGCATGGTGAAGTGAATCCTGTACTCTACACGGCCCCTAACCTGACACAACAGTACACTGTATGAAATCATAAGTAAGAAAGCATAGAAAGCACAATTTCCCTTTCAAATATTTGATGATGTTGGGAACTATTTAACAATCAGCTATTTGAAAAGGCTTTCTCCTTTTGGTGTCCTTGCTGTCTGTAAGCACAAACCATAGTCACCAGAGCCTCTACTTGGGTGTCTGTGTGGCTGACCCCAAAAGACCACAGGGCTCAGTCAGTAGTCAGGGGAAAGGGCTTACTTCCCCTAAGTACCAATGCTTCTCACCACATTGAACTTGGACTTAATTTGGCAAATACTTGACTTTGGTTTCTTGTGCCTCTTTCAGTTCATGATCTACCCAAACTCTTTATTACATTGCTTTTAAACACAAACACTTGCCCCTTTACAGGGCTAACGTCCTATCAGTTCCTAGAATGAATTCCATCTCCCTATGTCTAGAGCCCTGGTCATGCTTTCCTTCTCTGATTTGTTTAACAACCTTTCTTACAGACTTGCAAGATATAACCTATTCACCTTTTAGCTCTCTTTATTTCCAATACATTACACTCCTGACCTTTATAAAGCACCACTACTTCTCTTCCCATTTTCAGAGTTCAGAACCTTTGTACTAAGATCTGGACATTCCTTTGCCTGACATATTCCTTGCTACTCATGCTTTAAAATTTATCCTGCATTCATGTCAGATTATTTTTCATTACGCTTCTGGTTCTTTGTCAATTATTTCTTTGCTAGTTTATAACTAAACTACCTCTGCATTCTCCTATAGCCTGCAGTTTATGCACCTCTCAAACCTCTTAGATCTATTCTTCCAACAACTAGGAAACTGGTTCCTATTTCCTTGAGCACCTGCTAGTTGCCTTCTGTGTTCCACCAAGATTTACTAGAGGAAGGCAAGGAGCAAGGATGTTAAGATCACAAGTACAAGCACACTGCAGCATGTGACTGCCCTGCACTGACATCTTCACATCTCCTGGTTCTCAGCCTTTGCAGAAGTCCTGATGTGTAAGAGATGGGTACATAAACATTGCCAAGTTTAGGAGGAAGAAAAATTCTTGAGGTATATTTACCCACTTCTTTGGTATAACTATTCCCATTGTCAGATTCTAAGTTACCAAATGGTTTCAACACATAGCTCATGAGAGTTCATGAATGAAAAACAAATTCTGAACTTTGGGCTTGTTTTATTCTTGTGAGCTGGCCTTCAGAGCTCGTACACCATCCTGAGTAGATACCCGGCCCTCCTGCCATACAGCACAAGCATCACTTCAGGTTAGCCTGCCACTATTTACAGATTATAAAGGACACCTATCATCCTAGAGAGAAAGGACAGCACCCACAGCCTCTCCATCCCCCAAGTCCTCACCCTCCTTCACAGGGTCAGATAGAAACATTGTTTCTAAATACTTTAAAAACTCTTATCTAGCTGATCCATTTATTTCCATCTTTGTCTAGACAAAGTCTTCCATTTTAGCTTACATATACTATTTCTACATTATAGTCTTCAGTATTCTGATTATAATTCAGCATTTGGGCTCCTACCCCTAGCACATAACTGAACCTGCATGTTTGAGAGTTGCCAGAAGCATCTAATAGCATAGCATGAAATCATACATTACATCAAAATGGAGAAATACCATGTGAGTGTAGTGGGCATATTCCTGAGCTGGAAATCTGGGTACACAGGAAGAAGGTATACATGAGGAAAGTTGAGGAAAATCGAGGGGAGGAAATGGAATAAAAGAGTACACAGTATAGTTGGGGAATGCTATGGATTTTTTTTTTTACATGGCTGTTACACTGTAGGACTTATGGGCTGTACTGTAAATGCTAAGGCCACATGACTGGACCAAGAATGAATGCATGCTATAATAAATAAGAGGTTTTATAGTGTTCAAATGCATGCTTTAGTAACGTGACTCTACGGGATCCAGGCAAAGCGAATCAAGTAGACCACTCTAAAATCTCAGCCCAGACATGGCAAAGGGAGCTGCAGGTAATGCCAGTCACACTAAGCACGACTGGAGGCTTGAGAGTAGTTTCACATCCAATGACAAACGGTGCCATAACTCCAGTTCCAGGGGGTCCTATGGGCGCTTCTGAATTCCATGGGCTCCTGTACACATGTGGTGCTCTTACTCAGGCAAGCATGCATATGCACATGTGCACACACAATGCTATATACGTATTTATTTTATTATATAAATATAAGTATTACACACACACACACACACACACACATATATATATATATATAATATTTAAAAACATGTTAAAATAAGACAGAAAATAAGATCATAGAGCTAGACAGTGTTTAACTACGAAAAGCTTGTATGAAAATTAAGGGTCATATATGTTGCATGACTAAGCTAGACAGGAATTCTGCACCGTAATACTCATAATTGTGGTGGTATGAATAAAGGCAAAAGCAGTAACTTCTGCTTTTAAATGACTGGTGTCACTCCAGTTATACCTTTCTCCAGTAGGAAAGTATTCAATGACTAGTGAGTACTGGTGGTGGGGGACAGCATCATGCATTATATAAGCCAGTGGAAAGTACGAACCAGGTTTTAGTGTCTTTTTTTAATTAAAAAAATTTGTACTGTATTTTCCTTAAGTTAATCACTTCTTTTCCTTAAAAGATTTTCTTCCCTTTTCCCCTGTCAGATCAGGGCTAACTAATAATAACAGCTCGAGTAGCTGACGAATATGATGCTGTACAAAAGATCTGGTGTTGTGACAACCCCTTTCCTACTTTCCGGTTACTGCTATTTCCCTTATTTTGACTTAATGTGGGTTGTGTGGGCCCTGGAATAGGCACACAACCTAGGTTAGTTCATATTTTCTCCATATGACAAGTTCAGTGAATGGTTACTTTCTGTAAGTGGTTCACTGGAAGCTATAAGCATACCAATCTGGGCTGACTACACAGCCTTCATGTTATCTAAAGGAACAGGGGTAACAAAAAAAGGGAGCATAGTTTTTAACTCATGGAGCCTGCATCAGATTGAAATCAGAGTTTTTAGAAATAGTAAGGCCTGGGAGGGGGTGGAGGAGTAACACAAAAGGTGGGATGGGGGTTTGGAGGGTGGATAGATAATGAACAAACGCACGTGAGAACAGAGATTATTACTAATTTGTACAATTTATATGTGTGAATAATTATCACAAAAGATAAATAAACTGGGAACTTTCATAATGAACAAATCTCTACTCTAGCAGTAAGTCAACTAATAAAGAGAAAAGGAAGAAGATATCCATTTGGTGACCAACACAGTGGCGAAAAAAGTCAGATAAGCATCATCAATAGATGTTAAAAATGGCTGCTAAGGAGAAGGAAGAAAAAGATTATCTACTACAATTCCAGGCAGCTTCAACATGGATATTAGCAGAGGAAAAACAGCAGTTTTAGTGTAACAGACACTGCACAAGCAACAGCTTATCCAATCAACACAAACAGTCATGGCCAGTGTTGAGATTTGTACATGCCTGCAATTGTGCTGGCCAAATGCCCACTCCAGACTGATCACAGGGCAGCTTAGTGTGCACATTTCTACTCTAGTTCCTAGTATTGCTTGGGGTCGAAGATAATTTAGAGCCACTGATGTGACTAATACATTCTCCACCGCTGATGCTCAATGAACCCTGAAGGCATGGGGCCCTCTCCACTGAGTTCATCAGAATGTGGGAACTGCTTCTCTCCATCTCTATTAAATATACTTTACTTGGATAATATACTAAGTACAACAAAGCCATTTCTCTATCACCTCCCCAAATGCCACCATGTTCCTCAGTGGCTTTAGGCTACACTCTCAGGTGTGTATCAAAAGGTGCTGTACATCATGGAAGCTTCTCTATCTGTAATGGACGGCTGCAAACTAAGCTCAAGGTAGAGGGTCAGCCTCAGTTTTCTATGTAGTTTCATCAAACATGAAGGTAACAGGGATTCCTTCCAGGTTCTAGTACTAGGAAGACTGTCAGAGATTTCAGTGTTACCTAGACACAAAATGAAAATGGTATTTCTTTCTGTACACAATAGGTATTTTAGTGGGATAAATGAAATGTATTTGGGGCTGCATGTTGGATGCCATTTCAAAGTGAAATCCTGAATAAAGTGGCTAAGGCAAAGAACAAGAAGCAAATGAAATGGAGATGTCTCCTCTGGCATAGAGGCAACTGAAACCCCAGGAAAGAGGTTACTCACATCACAATACAATCTGGCAAAACAATATTGGAGAAAGATTATTGAAAGCTCACTGAAGGCCCAAGTGGAAACAATATCTTTCTCTTTACCCAAAATAATTAGTAAATGTTATGACTAAAATAAGATTATACAAGTTATTATTTCCTCTAATAAATGACTGATTCACTTGCCTAGGAAGAAGTTGGCTTCTGCTCTCCAGCAGCAGTGCATCAGGGATGACTTTTCCTCATCTCACACAGTTTTCAAGTTTTGAATTAATCTTAAATGTTAGCTGTGCTTCAGACTTATTTAGCATTCAGGCACCTGCCAGCGAACAGAAGTACCTGTGTACAGCCAGCAAGGTGCATACCTCTTGGTCAGCACTCAAGGACTCCACAGGTGAAGCTCAGGTTGCCTGGCCGTCACTCACCCTTAGCTCGGCTATATGTGCACGTGTGTACTCTACATTACACTCTACAACAGGCTTGTGTCACATACTGAAATGCTTATGATTTCAAAGATGAAGAAAACCTGCTCCAGGATCATAAAACTAAATCATTCTGGTTAAAACCCAATAGCCTAATTTTCCAACCTGTGCATATATGTCTGTAACCTCATGGAGAGAAAAAAGTGCATTAAACCACTGTCATGAAAACATAAGCAAAACTCCCAAGACGTCAGACACACAGATGTGCAGCAATGGTGTCTTAGCTGACAGGCACTAGGCAATAGTACTACATGGACTGGACGTGTATCTGCTGAGTGTGAGAGACACAGCACAACCAGGCACTCAGCCTCCTCTCCTGAGCGTCCTCTTATCTGGCAGCGCGGTGATCTTACGGGAGCTATAAAGGACCAAGCCTACGCCTCATACAGACTGCCATACAGACAACTGCAGCATGCTCACTATCTCTACCTTTACTTTTGAAATTCTTACTGAAATTCTGAAAAAGTGACATAAAAGACATGTTTGCATAATGAAATTAAAAAATACATAATTTCAAAAATAAGATACACTTTTTTCTAAAAGAATATAAACAAGACTGCTTTTTGAGCAATTACTTTCAATGCGATCTATAGCAGACCGCTTCTGAGCAGCTCTCTAAAGCGGCAAGCATTTCACTGCTAAACACTACAAAGTGCAAAAGATGGATACTCACTGAATTGGCATTTGTTGGGTTTGGCCAAGGTCTGCCACCACCTGGACCCCTACAAAATGATATGACAGGTTAATTCACCCTGAGCCTCGGCGGCTCCCCAACAGACAGCACTGTCTGTAACACGGTCACCGTGCCCCATGAGAGCCAAGCTCCACTATTGCTCTTCTCTTCTTAATGGTTTTTCCTTGAATGCAGAAACATATTATCCCATAAACAGTTTCATGTATAGTTAAATATTGTTTATTTTTATGAACAAGAATGGAAGCTACCTATACTAGTCTATATATGCTCCTAAATAATTTTTAGCAGTTTTAGAGTAAAAGGAATCAAATATAGATAAAAATAATTCAAGACATTAGTATGAGCCACCTGTGTATCATTCAAATGAAACCATTTGTAAAGTATCTACATAAATGACATTCTTAAATTACAAGTAAGCACTATGTAAACTTGCCTCCTTCCGTGAAATAGTCTAACATGGTAATGTATTCTCTAGCACTAATGGTGACTTAGTCCTGGGAAGCTCTGAGTCTGCTGTTAGTCTCACTGTCATATATGGCTCAACTGAGGTATTAAGCCATTGGTACCGTCATCTGCCATAAAAAGATAGAGGATTTAAATGAGCATGCTCTAATATTATAGCTTTATAAATTTGTTATCATAATATATAACATGATATGATATATAATATATAAATTTAGATTATAGCTTTATCAATGCTATTGATAAAAATTCATAATCTTAGTTGAAGATAGTAGAGAGACAAAGTTTTAAAATGAAAGAAGATAATCTATGACAATATATTGATGCATTTTAGAATTAAAGAGAATGTTTTATATTTTATATCCTATAAACAAAATTAACGCCCAGTTAATTAAATCAAATTCATATACCTGGGCTATAGCATTAAGTGCATTTGAATAAATATTGTTGCATGAAATGTAGACTATTTTTGACTTTCCTTCTTTTATTAGGTTACTGAAAATTCTCTTTCTACTCACTAATCACTAAGGCAGTGGAATATTCTATTTTTTAAACATCCTTTGAATGGCCTTTCCTTCAGCTTCCTCTGAAGGGCTCTGCCAGCATCTGACTTAGATACAGATACTTACAGCCAACCACTGGACTGAGCCCGGGGACCCAATGGAAGAGTTAGGAGAAGGACTGAAGGAGCTGAAAGGGTTTTCAACCCCATAGGAAGAACAACAATATCAATTAACCGGACTCCTCAGAATTCCCAGGGACTAAACCACCAACCAGAGTATACATGGGCTGGTCCATGGCTCCCACTACATATGTAGCAGAGGATGGCCTCATCTGGAATCAGTGGGAGGGGAGACCCTTGGTCCTTTGGAGGTTTGATGCCCCAGAGAAGGGAAGTGCTAGAGGGGTGAGGCGGGAGTGGGTGGGCAGGTGGGGAAGCACCCTTTTAGAGGCAAAGGAGAGGGGATGGGGTGGAGTGTTATTGAGGGGGGACAGAGAAGGAGAGTTAACAATTGAAATGTAAACAAATAAAGTAATTAGTAAAAAAGTACTGTGAATCTAGGAATCTTAAATCTAAAGCAATAAACATTAAATAAAACCCCTGTCCAAGTTACCTATTATATTAGTAGCATTTGCTTGGAATCTTTACAACTACTTTAGCTTGAGTTTGGTATTCCCTAGGGGTAGAAATAGAGGGAAGTGGTGTAAATCCCTCCTTAGGCTCTGTTCCAAATGTTCCATGTGGAATCTCTCCTCAGGTGACACCGATGATAAGGACAAAGGTGTGATGGGTTTACAATCAATTACTGAACACTTCTGCAAGATGACTGACATATAGGATTCTGTGTCCCGACAGACATAACATGAAAAACAGGATGCCCGTTGATCAAGTAAAACATTTGATTAGGAGGATGTAGCCACATAGTTTGTGTGATGCAGAATATAATGTAATGCAGAAACTGGGAGATACTTGTCTTGAAACATTCTAGAAAATATTCAAATCATAGAAAAGTTTAGTACCATGACGACATTTAGTGATCTCATAGCTTTGAATATGACCAATTAAATTAAGAACTGTATGAATCAGGCTTACAACACGGCTCAGCAGGCAAAGGTACTTGCTGCTGAGCCTCCATCCTGGCCCAAGCTCCACTCCCCAGGCTCCACCTCTGACCTCCACACACATGCTGTGGCATGTGCATCAATGTCAATGCATTTAAAAAAAAAAAAGAACTTACAAATAAGATATATAAAATATTTAACGTAAAATACGTCTAATAGGGCTGGAGAGATGACTCAGCAGTTAAGAACACTGGCTGTTCTTCCAGAGGTCCTGAGTTCAATTCCTAGCAACCACATGGTGGCTCATAACCATCTGTAATGGGATGCGATGCTTTCTTCTGGTGTGTCTGAAGACAGCTACAGTATATTCATATATAGAAAATAAATAAACCTTTTTTAAATAAAACCTTAAAAATGTTTTAAAAAAGAATATTGGTGTTAAAATATGTCTAATATTGAATTAGAAGCTAAATGTAAAGTCAGAATTTTAATTAAATTAAATAACATAAATTCTTTCTTTAAAAAGAAAAAACATTGCCAGGTACAATGGTGCACACTCATCCAAGACTTCCAGCACTTGGAAGGCAGAAGCAGGTGGATCTCTGTAAGTTTGGGGCCAGCCTGGTCTACAAAGTGAGTTCCAGTACAGCCAGGGCTTCACAGAGAAATCCTTTCTCAAAAAAAAAAAAAAATTAAGCAACATCAGTTCAATGTTATATTTATTATAAAGAGCATCATTTCAATTGCTTATATTAATCTAGTCCCAGAATACTGCATTTCATATTAAATTTTATTAATTTCATAGGGAATTGCATATGAACTCATATAAACACATTAAAAAATTCCACAGATAGGGCTGAATCAAACAGCTAGTGGCTTCAAATAAGCAAGTGATCTGGACTTGCTCTGAAGCCAGCAGGACTATCAGAAGCTGATGTAAGTAAGTGGCTCACAAACATCACTGTGAATGAAAGCCAGGCAGATGAGCAAGGAGGAGAAGGAGATGTAAAAGGTGAAGGTGTTCTTGGCAAGTATCTATTTTGATGGACTGTGGGAATCATGACTACCAAGAAGATAATGCTCTTATGAAAGTCACTCACTTAACCCTGTGGATCCTTGCAGCGCCTTGTTCTATAAGCGGCAGGGCTGCAGGGCTGAAGGCACAATGCTCCCACACAAGGAGCAGGCCTGGTGCCCTGGAAACCTGTCTGACTACTCAATGCACACGTACTCTGTGACTTACACTTCCTTTCAAGAGTCATCTGCAATGCATTTGAAAATATTGACATTTTGGCCATAGTTTGTAAACTGAACTTTAAGCCACTTAATGCTGGGTGTTGACTTGTGAATGTGTTACTGTTAGAGAGATGTTGAAAGGCTACTTTGCCTGTCAGTGAGCTGAGGAGTTTGTCCCACGCTCTAGTTCCTACCACTGCAAGCCTTTTTCCAGATGACCAATTTTCAGTGTACGAACATTTATTAATGAAGTCACATTTTTTTGTTGGGGCTGTTTAGTTCTACAGCTGAAAGCTACGGCCGGGTAGAACACAGCATTTAGTCCTTGGGTGCCCAGGCTGGCCTTTTCACCATGACATGGTCATAGTCAATGAGGAGTGGCAAGGAGGGAACGACACGCCTTATCTTCCAATTTGTAAGTATCCAACAGGGTGTTCTTTATTGGTTTTCTTTTAAAATAGCATGAAGAAAGCCTTAGATTCCATTTGAAAAATTGGGGGGAGGGGCTATTACATGTTTAAAGATTGTAAGAAATGATGTGAATTTTAATTCATTTTCCAAGTATAATGAGAATACCTTGTATTTCCCATCTTTGATTTTCTGGGAGATTAACAGCAATGCAATGATTACCCTCTCTGATTAGAAGTTTATTAATTACAAAGTTTCCATGTTAGAGAAAAATACTTATTATGCCTAAATATGTATGTATTTTTTCATCGTCTCTGAGAGGATCCTAGTTTACTAAAATTGAAAAAGTAAAACAGAAGACTCCAAAATAAAAGGGAATAGTAACAAGTGGGAATGAGCCTGAGAGACTCCATACTCTTTTTAAGAGCTATACAACCTTATGTAAGAGAAATCATCTCAAACTATCAAGACTACTTAAAAAGTCCAAATAGCCCCCAAAAGTAAACCTACTAAGAGTTTCAGCCATATTTTGTTTTTATAGTACATGGAATTAAAGAATATTCACATGTGTATACATAAGCACATATACTGGAAGAAACTAGATCATTTTAAATAATTATCTGAATCTCTCAGGTCATATGAAAATAAAGTTTTACTATGTACCAGCAAATCCACATTTATCTTAAGTTGGCTAAGCAGTTAATTAGAAAGCTGAGTACTATACCAAACTGTATTACATATGTTCTTATCAGTTGCAACAACCTGGTTGATCATAATATTCAAACTGCATTAAAATATATTGACTTTTAACTTCAGAATCTAACTTAAGTTTGAAATATTTCTCTGGCCTACTGGCAAGAGCTCCAGCTTTGACATAAGCAGAAAATATCATACAACCCTTCTATAGCAACCACTAATGAAAGGGCAGGCCTTAGAGGAGTGCAACAAGAGCCAGACTCTAAGTCTACCCATTTTTATTATGAAAGTGAAAGGATGTTATAGGGAAATTTGACCTACTTTTCTCCCTGTTCTGTTAGTTTTGAGTCTACCTGGTATCCACTTATTAACCTATTTTCAGTTTTAGTAAAAATTGCATCTATGAAAATGGTTTCAGAAGCTTAAAACATCCTGTATACATCAAAGGAGCTTATTTCACAGTGTGTCTTCATGCCACCAGATGACAGCAGGGTTGTTTCATTTCATATGTAAGGAGCTAAAAGCAGGCCACTGGGAAGTGAAGTTGAGGAGAAGCTCACAACCTGCGTGGAACACACTAGTCACTTATGATGTGTGTCCTTGGGTTACATCACCTCGTGGTCCTCTGGTCCTCTCGTGAATTCATAAAAATCATTAACAAGATCTACTGTATACAGGCCTTTGAGGAAAGATTGGAGAATGCAAAAGAAATAAAAATTCCTTAGCAAATTGCATTGTAACAGACACAAACTACTCTTTTTGGACTGGAAAGGATACTGCAGTAAACAAACATATTCAGTTTGATCCTCACCTAGGTACATACACCTTGGATTTTCAAAGAGAATCAGCCCTGTGCTGTGAATAGTTCTTTAACACAGAGGATATCAACACAGAACATTCTTTTGTGCTGAAAGTGGCCCCCATAACACAAACACAGACATATGTTTATGAGACTTACTAACTGTACTGTCAGCTATCACAAAGAACTTATTAACATAAATAAAAATTTTCAAGTATCAACTTCTGTATTTAGTACATGGTTCAGGTGTCTGCATCTCTTTATAGTGTTTATATAGATTCTATATGAATCTATAATTATTAAAAAGCAACAGGCTGAATGTTGTGAATTATGGTACCTAAAATACAAAAACAATTGAAAGTTTCATTGAAAGAGAAAACATGATAGTAAGTCATGAAAATGAAGCAAAAACCACATTCATGTTTAGGTCACTTATGTACAATAAAGACACTGGTACCTCAAGCTGCTCAACAAACTCATGTAATTTCAGAAGACAGAGAACAGTCACTAAACAGAGTAATAAGCATTTTCTTACATGTTCATTCCAGGCATCCCAGGGCCACCTAAAGCATTCAGTGGGGGTCTCATTGCACCTCCATAGTTCTGTAATGATAACCAAGGGTCAGACTACCACAAAACAAAAAAACAAAACCAAAGAGGAGGGGGGAAAGAAAGGAGAGCAGATTAATGACTTCCCTATGCAAGTCCTGGCTGGATAAGGCCTGTGTAATTCATTCTCTGAAGGGTCCACTCTTGTATTTTTTGCTTCTATTTTAACACAATGACTTTGGTCAATGCCATTTAAAAGATTTATGAGTATGGAAAATCATTGGATCATGTTGAATGATCAAGGTATGATCAAAATTATAACATTTAGCATATCTTTATTAATTATCTGTACATTAGTTACTTTTTTCAAATAAACATCTCATAAGTCAAAAATTCTGTTTTCAGATAAATCATTAATTCAACAGGGTTGAAACTATTAGATAAGAACAATTTCATTAAGTCTGAAAAGAAATACAACAGGTAAACCCAACCCAAGAATGTTGACTATAAGCTTCTATTCAGAGTAAGATATCCAACATGAAATGCACTCTTTACAAACACCAAACTATCTGAGAACTAAAGCATACTGAAAATATTCACATATGACTTATTTGACCAAATAAATCTTAGGCAGTACCTACTGTGTGCAATAAAGGAGAAAAAAAGGCAGTTCAGAGATTTTTATATGCATATCATATTTTATGTTAGCTTACTTTAGTTCACAATAAAGGCCAAATGTGACTTTTCTGGTTAGCACATTAATACATTTGACACAATCAATGACTTTCACATTTGGTTTCCTGACGCTAATCTCCCTCCTCTTTTGACTGTTCTATTCCAGCTACACTGGTGGCTTCTTCAGTTTTGACCACAGTTTAAATGTTGCTTTTCCTCAAGTTTTAGCTCCAGTATTATTTTCAATGAATGCACATTCATAGGTAATCTTATCCTCTACAATCTGTTCAAACACTGCTTATTCCTTAGGATGCTGAATCTACTTTATCATGTCTCACTAAGTTCCTAGATGATGCTCAGGTTGACAGTGCTGGCTGCTGCCCATGTGCAGTATACACAGAACACACTGTCATCTGCTGTGGCTGAAGTTCTTTATGTTTGCTCTTTCATGGGCCTTTGGCATTACCTACTACATAACAGTTCATGCTACAAGTTTCCAGAAATTTTTGATGACCAAAATATTCCTATTGGTCATCTGCCAAGTTTGACTGTAGTACTGAGAGCCCACGAGTGTTCCGCTTCAGTGGGAAGGCTGCTGCATTATCTTAATTGGGTTTTCTCCCCAATGTATTCACATACTTCCACAGGCAATGTTTTCTAAATCAGTGTTACCCATGAACTTAAAAGTTACGATGACCCAGATTGTCTGTCAAGTAAGCCCAAACTCCTCAATGTGTCCCCACAAGTTCTCCACAACCCAGCCCCAGCCTATGCTGTCTGCTTTCATTTTCTACATTTTCAACTTCTAGTTTTATCTTTAGCCTACTGGATTTTTCCAAATTAAAGACGTTACACTTTCATAACCATGTCAACTCATCAGGCAGGAACACTTTGGAGGAGGTGTTAGGAGGACAGGGAATGAATCAATGAGAAAGTTCATTAACTCTAGATAGAATGGCATTCTTGATCAATGACATCACTTAGCCAGGTGCCTGCCTTCACTGTAAAGAAATGTTTACACTCAGGCGTGTAGGCAGTGGAACCATTTCTAACCATACCCGTCTTCAGGTAAAGGCAGCTAATTTGGGCCAAGCATGGAGATAGTTAGCAAAGGATTGGAGCCACATGTGTGTGATAGAGTAAGGCCTGGACCATCACAAGGAAGTCTGCACCTCTCTCCTTATCTTTGAGTTGTAAGAAATCAAACATTCCATGGACGTTCCTTGGCGCTCTGGGCATAGAAATACATTAGCTTGCATCTCTACTGATACAGCATGATGGGCTCTCCAACACGCTGCCTTTGTGAGACAGGGTCTTCCTACGCAACAGTTGGCCTTGGGCTTAAGACTGTCCTGCTTCAGTCCCTGGAGTCCAGGAAATACAGGTGTATATCACAGTAGCATCCCTTTTATATGAACAACTGATTCTCTTAACCTATTTCCTTACCTGTATGGCAATAATATTAATTTCCATGTAGACTTTTGGTAGAATAAAATAAGATATAAATTACCAGAGTGTTCAATGAATTAAAACATGGCACTTACTACTTAAAAACTATAGCTGTTAATTTTTTTCATAGATGCTAATAAAATGTAACTAAATCCTTTTCCGCTCACGCTCCAGTTTCCTTAACTCTAAAGTACCACTTCTCTGCTCATGTGACGACTCCTTGAATAATTCCATATGGGACATGCTAGGCTTTTAACATGAGATCATAGCCTTTCTAAACGCAGCTGTATTTCCTGCTCAATGGTATGCACCTTGAAAACAGAAATCCTATTTCATTAACGTTTTTATACTCAACAGTCAAGTCAAATATCTGATACACAGTAGGCCTTCAATAAATGATGAGCTAATTAAACTGAATCGTCATAGGAAGCAAGACATTATCCAATATAATACATGATTTATAGATATAAAATATTTTCATTTTGTGAATAATATTCTAAATCACAAAGTAATCAAAAAGAAAAGAAAGAATAACAGAAGGCTTTCCGAGTGGTTTAACAGAGGCAGAAAGGGAAGAACGATCTCCCCTAAAGCTGATGGCATCTGTACTATTCCATCTGGTCTAGTCTCTCTTCTAATGCAATGTTCCTCACAACATGGCACTCAGACTCTGTTTGCCTGGAGACTTTAACATGTCTTTCCTTGATTGGACAGTTTAATCATTAGGAATTTTTATCCTGTAGCAAGCTGATTCCACATTTTAGATTGTATATAGATGTATGAAATCTGTTTTCTCTATCTCTGAGTTATACATTCTCATTTCACATATACCTACCCCAACTATCTGATTTTTAAATGTTTCTTGTATGTAGCTTCCTTACACTTGAAAATTCTAAAGAAAACTGAAATATCTGTGTAATTTAAGTGACTTTTTCTATTAATCCCATGGAACTTGCTGATTTTAAGGACACAGGTTAGCTACATAACTCATAGAACAAAGGAGAAAGTTATTTCAAATACAGTATCAGAAGATATTTTTCCTGATGAAATAAATAATTTTGCTTTTCTGCTGAAACTATATTTAAAATCATTTTCTGCTGCTGCCTTGACTTGGGTAAATGTCTCTGTCTTCAGCCTCACAGTACACACTAACCACACTGTCACTATGGTCTGTGTGCTTTCTTACCTCACAGGACTCAAGACCCATTATGCTAAGTGTATTGCTTTGCTTCACACGTAAGTTGTTCCCAGAAATGACTATCTCTCTTTACTACACATACCTTGAGGTCAAAAACCACAGAAGTGATATTTATGGAAAAATTATGGGGAGTCATCAGTAGCACAAGCTTTTATCCTAGCACTACAGGGAGAGACAGAAGGACCTCTCTAAGTTCAAGGTCAGTCTGGTGTACAGAAGGAGTTCCAGGCCAGCCAAGGTACATAGTGAGACCCTGTCTCAAACAAAACAAGTGTGTGTGTGTGTGTGTGTGTCCGTCTGTGTATAAGGCTACAAACACCATTCCAGACCCTGTTTCTATACTACAGATATAAAGAAAGGGGCAGTCTACCCTCGGGTGGCAGCTGCATGGTAAAATGTCTGTTGTAGGAATTTTCAGGAAACGCAGCTTATGTTTTCTGATGAACACATTTTACCTGACATGTTTGATATGCAGTGAACATGTCCTGAGACTCCTGCCATTCCAAATGATCTTACATCAGTGTTCTCTCCTATCCTGTCATGAGCACTTGCTTTGGTTCAAATGCATGGTATTTATAACTAATTTTCTTTAATCCCTTTTGTATGGTGTAACCTTTTAGGGTTATTGTTAGTATTTATGGTTTCTGAGGTAAATTTATACCAAGGTGCTTTATTCCCTTATATTAATACAAATGGATTAAAAGATACTACTACTACAAAGAGAAAAAATAAACTACTATCTGACTTTTGCAAAGGAAGCATTCATATGTTTTCTTTCAGTGTGCCTTTTCTTTCAAGATTTTATATGAGATCTATGTGCCCAATGCCACCAACCCCGAGGTCTGTCAACACTCAGGTACATATGCTAAAACCCAGTAAACTAGGCCATCTCATCAGGAGGCAGCAGCCCAGTGTCTCACTTCCGGGCTGATGATATTTACCTGTGGTCCTAAGGGCACCATTCCTCTTGGGGGAGTCATTCTCTGCATTGGTCCACCCATATTTGGATGTCCTAAAGGAAGTATGAAGTGATTAGAACAGGACAGTTATGTGCATTAAGCTAGAGGCTGCCCCCCTTGCTACGTACACCCATTGGTCTCTGAGCATCACTACCAGCTTATTTTGGCTTTTATAACCATCATTTCTAGCTCTGACTATCACCTACTCTTTATTGGCTTCTTAGCTAAAATTTTCTTCCTTCTCTACATTGAATTACTTCTTGTTACAGCCTTTGCTTCTCTTTCTTTAGGACAATTATTTCCTGGAATACAGCCTTAGCTCTCCATGGCACCTGAACATCTCCAAGGAAGGCGTGGATTACTGGGACTGTTGAACCAATGAAGTCACTGCTACTCTGTATGCTGCCTTCTACATCACTGAGTCCTCCTCTGTAAAGGAAAGGGGCTGATGACCATAATCACTTAACATCCTACTTGTCAGACATGGTACACAGGTTTTAATAGTCTGTCTCTTAGGCCAGCACCTCTGCTCTGGCACTGGCCATAATTTAGAGTCAGCTGGAAATACAAACCATTTAGCAATGTTGCTGTGAAACAGAGCTGGTAAACTCATGGAGCATTTCTATCAGTGACGTTCTTAACGAGCGTCCTCACTAGCTCGGCAGATCAGCTTCACCTCTACTCTAATCACCTTGTTGTCGTGTTGGGTCCATTCCGCTGGGGAGCAATGGCTGACTTCCTGGGACACCTCCAAGTGCCTAGCAATTTAGAAAAACAAAAATAAAAAGTAATACTGTATTTATAAAACATGTGCTTTAACATTTTCCCCTTGAAGATTCTGAAACTATATAATGCAACTCAAATGAGTCTCTCTCTCCCAAGATCTTTCAATTTCCCATTCATTTTATACACTTCATCCTTGTACAGCTTTAGTATAAGAGTTTTGTTGTCTTCCTGTCCTGGCCGCCATCGGAGAGCAGCAGCTATGGCCCTGCGTTACCCTATGGCCGTGGGCCTCAACAAGGGCCACAAAGTGACGAAGAACGTCAGCAAGCCGAGACACAGCCAGCGCCGCTGGCGCCTCACCAAGCACGCCAAGTTCGTGCGGGACGTGATCCGGGAGGTCTGCGGATTCGTGCCCTACGAGCACCGCACCATGGAGTTGCTCAAAGTGTCCAAGGACAAGTATGCACTTAAGTTCATCAAGAAGAGGGTGGGCACGCACATCCACGCCAAGAGAAATCGGGAGGAGCTGAGCAACGTGTTGGCAGCCATGAGGAAGGCGGCGGCCAAGAAGGATGATGAACCCTCCCCCAATAAAAGAGCATCGTTCCTATTTAAAAAAAAAAAAGATTTTTGTTGTAAAAGAAATTCTGGTTTTGGCTGATGGTGGCGCAGCAAACCTTTAGGCAGATTTCTATGAGTTCAAGGCCAGCCTGGTACGAAGAACAAGTTTTAGGACAGCCTAAAGAGACCCTGTCTTGGATGGATGGATGGATGGATGGATGGATGGATGGATGGATGGATGG